ATTGCGCATGACCAACGAACGATAGCCGGCCCATCAACGCATGCACGGAGCCTATGCTATAGTCTATGCCAGTGCTAATTACAGCTGGTACTCCATGAAGACTCCGAAAAGAACTACTCCTTGATGACCCCTTTACAGTGTACAAGCCCACAAGAGTGCTCATGCACAAAACAGTCGCGCTCACGTTCTGTCAGTCGGCGGTGGATTTCATGTTTGCCAAACTCCTGTTCATGGGCTAGTAGCCTGGCTCGACCACATCCTTGGCCACGTTGAGACTGTAGAAGTCGAAGTCCTCATTGGGATGAGCGAGGGTCACGAGCTGCATGAGCGCCTGCTTGCACTCGACGAAGCACTCGGCGTGCGCCGGCGCCCAGCCGTGGTCCGCGAGCGCCACTGAAGCCAAACGCGTCTTCTTTCGCGTGCCCGCGGCCGTGCACACGACCTCGAGAAGTGCCTGCAGGGGCGCCACCAAAGGGTTATACTGCGGGATGGACTGGCGCATCCAGTTCAATGCACAGATAAATTGTTGTAGTTGGTCCGCCGTCGTCGGCGTCGAGAGGCCCGTGAGACCCGCGATACGCTCGGGGTCATGGCTGATTCCGGCGGCGCTGACCCGGCGACCGCACCACACAATCTCTGTGGCATAGAAGGTACACTTCCCTGGGTGCAATTTCAATCCGTACTGGGCGCACCGGGCGAGGAGGAACTGGAGGAGGTTGATGAGGCTGCGCTCGTCGGTGGCGCTGCCGAGGACGTCATCGACCCAGCCTTCGAGCCCGTGTCCGTACTTCTCGCCGTACACTTCCTGCGCAACGCGTTGGCAGTAGGCGACGGCGTCAGTCTGTCCCATCTGCACGCGCGTCGGCGTGACGACGCAGTTGACGCCGAGCACCGAGAACCACTCCTGACAGTCCGGGTGCAACCCAAGCTGCCAGAAACCCCTGAACCAATCACCAACGAAGAACACCGTCTTTCCCGACAGCCGGGACATGACGACGTCAAGGATGGGCATCGGCCACACCAACGGAAGCGTGACGGCATTCACGCCACGCATATCCACTGTGAGGCGTAGCTCGCCGTTCTTTTTGGGCACGACGCGAGGCGCCGAGGCCCAGTGAGAATCCGGGTTGATGACGGCCAAGCCTTGGTCGAGCCACGCTGCCACGGTGTTCGCCAAGAACACCGTGTAGATCGGGTTGTAGCGCCGCGCCGCGCATCGGACGGGCACAGCACCCTGTTGTAGGACGACCTTGAGTGGCTCAATGGCGACCGGTGGCTCGTTGCGAGGCGCGACGCGAAAGACGTCGATAGCTGCCATGACGAGGCTGTGGACCTCGCGAGTCCCGGCCTCGGAGAGGCCATTCGCCTGCGCGGCACGCACGGCGTCGAGCAAGAGCTCTTTGACAATGGTATCGTGGTCGGCATCTGGTGCATAGGCAGCGGAGTTGTCGTCTTCGTCGTCTACCACAGGGTCCGGTTCGTCCACGGTGCCGCGGTGCCAGGTCTTGAACACCCGTTGGAGCGCCGTCGGCGCTGAGTCATCGGTGGCAACTGTGTCCGCCAAGTCCCAGACGTCGCGCTGCTCACGTGCGATTTGAAGGAAACCCTCCAGATCGTACCCCAACGTCTCCATCACCTTACGACCAAGCGTGATGTTGGCACTGTCGTCGGTCTCATCGATCCACGTTGAGACATGCAAGAGCGTGATAGGACCATCGGCCA